TTTTTATTTTGAAGGAAGAAAAGTCAAGAAATATTTGTTTTGATTATTTAAAAATTGAACATTAAATTTAAACTGCTCGGCTCCATTTTAAAGCAGAAACAATTATCTGATAATCAATAATGTAACAGTTTTGAAAAGTAATTAATCATTCTAGTCTTTTTTTATGTAAAAATGACACATTCAGTGGGTCTACGTTAACGGATTTTTGTTGCCTTCCTCTATATTTATATTGCCGCTAACTGAATGAGCTTGGATTGCATTTGTACACCAAACAATTAATAATAAATTGCAGATTATTTGGTAATTAAACATATAAGAATTAAGGTTAAACTGGAAATGACACGATGAGCTTCCACTTTGCGTTAGTAGCACAGTGAAATAGCAGTGAAGTCTCATGTGGAACTGTCTAGACTGATAAGGTGACTGTAAGTTACAGTCCCAGCTTTTTTACATCTCATTATTTGTAAATAATGAGATAAGGAATCATTCCTGTACCTTAACTGCTTTATTGCTGTTGTTAAAGGTTGTGTGTGTGTGTGTGTGTGTGTGTGTGTGTGTGTGTGTGTGTGTGTGTTTATATGAATTTGCACATTCTGTATCTTATTACTGGAATTTCAGGGTATGGTCTTCCTATTGCCAGATTTTGCCAACAAGCATAAAAGCAGAGTTCACTTCAGAGAGCACCACGGAGTCTTGACAGGCACCAAGGGTATTTACTCTGCTTCCAGAAACTTCCAGACTCTTGTTTACTTTTATCTTGGCTTCCTCTTGCAAACTTGTCCTTGCTGCCTCCCACTCCAATTCTTATCCTCTCATCCCGTTTTCTTCAGTTTAGAGTGTGCGTGCAAAGCAGGAGTGTCTCTCAGAGACACTTTGTTTTTGAAGTTTTTCTGTTTGGCAATGTTTGCGCATTGACTTCACCTGCCTCCCCAGAGCCCATTTCTCGTTTCCTCAGCTTGTAACTGTGTCACTCTAACAATTGCTTTACTACCATCTAATGAGTGATACAAAAAGCAGCTTAAAATGTGTTTATCTAATTTAAAAAAAAAAATGTAAGTGTAAAATAGTTTCTCCATGGTAAAAAAGAGAGTAAGCAGTGAGTGAACAGCTGCACCCAGTTTGGGTATAAGGTGCTGAAACGAATCTGCATTTTTTTTTTCACAAGCACAAAAAGGGATTGACGGAGCCCCTGAGAGTATACGGAGCGGCACTAAATAACATCAGAATTTACTGTCTACATTCCTGAATGTTTGTGACAGCCACAACGCATCTCTTAGCATGTGATGCAGGCCCACTGAAACCCTTTTGTTCACTAAATCCAGTGTGAAAATTGCTCTGTTTTGAGAGTTGGGAGAGGCTAGCAAGGGGCTGGCGCTGAGGGGGAGTCTCCCATGCATTGGTTGCTAGCTAGGCCCCCAGGTTTGTAGTGTTTAATGAGAGCTCATTGATTAAACTTTGGTAAATAACCACGTTATGTGCAGTAAGAGGTTAATAAAGCAATGATTAGAGGGTTGAGGACTGACTGGGGGTTCTTTGTAAGGATCTTTGGTTTCACACTGTCTTGATTATTGGTCTATGCATATTTCTTTGATTTAATTAGACCAGTATTAATTTAGATGGGTTAGATTCTTTTATGGCAGTGCATATTAAGGTGTAGCCCCAGATTGTGTCATTTTTATTGTCTTTGACAAGTCATTATGAACAAGTAATGAGCAGGAGTTGTATTTACCTTTTTATAAGATTACATTTTTATTTAACCTTTGCTAGAAAACATGCATAATGCTAATTAGCCTTAAAAGACCACTTTCCCTTTTGTTTCCTATCTAATGACAGATGAATATTTTAAATGTAGCCTTTTGTACTTGTTTCTCTTTTTATACATGGATGAGTGTCCAAGTGGTTTTCCTGTGACATGTGAGGGTGTGTTCACTGTTAATGTCTGTTCAGTCTGTAAATAAGAATATGTAAGGTGAAAGAGGTAGAGAGTTAATGAGATGTGTGATTAAAAAGTGATCACATTTAATCATGTTGCTCCAGGTTTGCAAGCAGCAATCTCGCATGATTGATTCTTCACTGTGCAGACTCAGAACTCTTGGATAATGTTCTAGGCATCAGATGGTCAGTGATGGCTGGCACCGTGGCGGCATCAGTGGCGCGATCGTTCAGTGTCTGGCCAGCCTTTGACTCCCCGGAGATGGAAACGGATGCATTATAAATGCCTAACAGATGGGTATCCATCTCTCTCTCTCTCTATTTTTTTTTTTTTTTTTTTTTACCCCAACAAGTCCTGATAGATGACTGCTTGTGTCACGATGGCAGCAAATGAGGAGCAACTAGAATAATGAATGACTTAATATCAATCTCAGACAAGCTGCTGTTAAAGAAATATCCTCACCCTAATGTCCAGAATGTTCACTCAGGAGAAAGCCATGATATTGATATTCATGATTTGGATTCAAGGCATCATCCCCTTGCTTAAGAAGGGCCATTTCAATGGGACAACATGTAAAGGCTATGAAAATGGTGTCAGCACAGTGTTAATCTTGGAGAGCCGCATCATAAGCCATCTTGAAGAGGAGCTAGAGTGCTGCTCGGCTTTCACTGCCCTTGATTACACATTAAGACATTATTTCAATAACTATATATAAAAATCTCTTGAAAAAGAAACTCTTCATCATCCAGCCTGAAATGCAGTTTATTTTATTATATTAGCAAATAAGTTGTTTTCTGCTATAGTGGCTCATTGACGTACTTTTAAAACACAGAAGGTGCTCATTTCTGATTAGTCCATCAGCTCCTTTTTTTTATATCAAAACCTGTTTTGGATAAAAACTGACAATAAGGAATGTTTAGAATAATAGACCGTGACAGCTTTTACACATATTATCACTATCAAATAAAAATGCTGTACTAACAAAATAATCAGATTCTTAAAGTCAGTCATAGACTTTGTTTTAAGAGACCGTTCTATATGCAGGCTTTCTCTCAGGAAATTGGGCAGCAGAGGAGGTAATCAATCCCCTGCTGAGCTACATCAGACACATCTCCCTGCTGTTTATCTCCTTATCAATGTATTTACTAGATGGTTGTCTAAACAGTCACATCACTGCTCATTTCCCCTTAACCTTAATGAGCTTAATATTGTATAAATTGTCAGTTTCATCGGACGTAAGCAGAGGCGTACTGTTATGCAGACATGATTTCTCAGTGTATAGACTGGCATGTTGCTCTTTGCCTTAAAATTTTGGCTTCTGTGTAAGTGGTTCCCTGAGCAGTGGCTCAGCTGAGTTGCTTCTCAGAAGGCTATATCCAGATGTTCAGAGAGAAAATATCTGGAATGAAATGTTGCCTAGAAAATGCAGAGATGGCAAGCTCCAAGAAGAATGAGCCGCGTTGACGTTTACTCTCATTTTCTACCCCTCGCCATCTGCTTGCAGCACACCTGCCTCAAAACAGCATCAGTACGCCCATACAGTAGCCAGGGAATATTGATTAAGACTGCTGACATTTCTACTCCCTTTTCACTCTGGCTGGGTACAACATGTACCATCTTTTAGATAGAATGAGGTTAGAGATGCACAAAACCCACACATCTTCCCTTTGTGTCATCAGAGCATACTTAAATCAGAAATATTTAAGTAAAATTGAATTTATTCTCAGACTGCAGGATGTAGCTACAGGTTTTGAACATAAATTACCTGTATTCATTTTAGGAGTTGTCCTGCTTTAATCTTTTACTTGTAGTTGAGAGAAGATACTGAGGAAGAAAACGGTAGAAATGTTTCCACATTAAGTCTCTGATATTGATTTCCAGTAGTAATGAATGACACACTAACACATTTAACTAGTCTAATTGGACTACATTATAAGAAAACATGTCCATGTTGTTTTTGTCTGTTCAGCTCGTCTTATTCTTGGCCTTCTTCCTAATTTCTATTCAACAGCAGTGCAACATGTAACAACGAAAGGGAGCCCAGCTGGTTTAATCCAAGTGCTTTGTCAATGAGCACATTGCATAATAAGATCAATATGCTCTCTTCGATGTGACGATTTAGCACCTTCCTTAATTTAATAGCCTCTTTCAGTAGAGGTTAGTAATACATTGAGATTAATTACGGAGGAAAGTATCCATGTCATTCTCTGCATATTTGCATTGACATATTGGTTGTACAGTAATGACTCTGCTGTCAGAAAGCCTATAAATTCATCCTTAATTTGTAATGTATCAGTGTCAAGGTTTATGAAATGTTTATTTAAGGCTATAATTAGCCACAGTAAAAAAAAAAAAAAAAAAAAAATGCAACCCTTAATTTTCGAAAAGTTTGTAACGTATCTAAGCTTCATAGTGTGCAGGAGCAATCAGTCATCATTTATAGGATTATATGTGAGGAATCTAGAGCCTGCTGCTACAAAGATGTTCAGAGTAAGCAGGGACTCTGGTTGAGTTAGGTGTCGTCATGGCGCTTTAGAGTCATGACGACACAAACGGCTTGAGTCTTTTAGGCTTCTTTTATAACAAATTGTAAGGCCTGGAAAAAACAGGTTGGTTCAAATGAAAGTCAGAGGGAATTATACACCATTGTCAAAAGGTAAAAATTGTAACAGCATGAAACTGACCAGGGAAACAACAAGATCTATAAATGTGTTCATGTCATGTTCATATGCAGACAAATGTGCAGAACCTTTTTGCATATTTTACATACTAGAAAGTCAATACTATATTGTCCAGTGTAACCTTAATATTGCAGCAGTGCCAAACTAGGTTTAAGGTAATTTAACTGGATCTTAATTTGTTCATTAGAGACTTGTTATTTTCACAATTATTTAGCACAACAATCCCTTTGTTTTTTTTTTTTTGTCTTGTTGTTATCTTGTTATTAAAATTCTAATATGCTCTTGCATCCACACTCTTGCATACAAAATTACAGATTTAAATGCATGTTTATGTGCCCTCATACATAACTTTGAGCCCAAATAAATCCAATTTCTCCTCTTTCCAGTATAGGTAGTGAGGAAACTGCAAGCAGAAGCAGCAGCTGTGTGAAGACTTGGTGGTGAATGTCGACATGATGTCCAGCCAGTCAGCCGTTTCTTTGTGAATGGATTAAAGGTCAGTATCAGTATCCATACGGTCCTCACTGTCAAGATTTAAAATTAAATCAGCTCAGTGCTCTTATATCCACTTTGAAAAATGGCCTGGTCTTGCTTATATGATGAAGTGATTAAGCCCAGCTGTTAGAAGTGGCCCTAAGGCCTGCATTCCTTCTCTTGTCATCGCTGAATCATTTTTGATACCATAAGAAGAGACGGCATTCTTTGAGTTAACTCTGGATTCTTGATCTTGTATGACATGGGTAATTGTGTATCTGCATGCAAGAGAAAGTGCTGGACCTGAGACACTACACTCCTCTATACACCACTGTTTATTTTATGTTGCAGACTTTATTGCATACATAAGACCTACATGAAAACTATCGTTGTACACCACATCATTATCTATAAAAATAGTTGGTCAATAATTTGCTGAGTTCAGTTTATTGATTTCAGTTTCCAGTTGTTGTGCACTTGGCAACATACAGCTTTCTAAATACTGAGTGCATTGTTTTTTTTTTTTTTACACAAGAAAACCATGTTGTACATAGACAAACCAACTGTAATGCAGTTTATTGTTTTAGTAAGGGGAGAGAAGTTGGGACGCAAGGACACTTAAATCCCAAAGCTACAACTTATATACACAACCAGTACAAGGTTTGGACAGACTTGCCTGTTCAATTAAATGGGAAAGTGTGTCCAAAGCTTTGACTGGTAGTGTGCAGTGCCTTTTTCCCCCTAATTGCCAGACTGTTGTTACAACACTTGTAAATCCAAGCTTTTAGCATATTTTGTGACTCTGTTTCTTAGATCCACATTTGTTTCTGCAGTATGATGTTGTAGGACAAGCAGCTAGTTTGGCCTCTCTCTAAAAATCTGCATACATTTTCTCTCATCACTGTGCCATTTAATTAGGTGATTGCTAAATCCCTCAGAAGGCCTCCGTTATAAGCTTTCTGGTAATGACCTGCTTAATCCTCCTACTAGAGATAAAACACACAGGCGCATTAACTTCAGAGCAGTTTACTCACTTCTCGGCTGCCTCTGAACAACACTGTATTATTGCGCAGTGAAGTTTATACACTGGGCTGTTAAGTTTGAGTAGGTCTGTTAGCTGAAGCAACACCAAGGTTTATGTCTTAAGGCATATTTTACAGTTTGATGGTGAGCAGATGGATCACACTCAAAACCATCTGCAATCATTTGCAACTGTCTCCCAGAGCTACACCAGCTAATTGAATGGTCAGTTGACAGAAGATTAATCTGTCTATTTATGTAAATCATTATTCGAGCGAATATTCTCTGGTTCTATTCTGAATTATGAGGATTAGCTAGTGTTTTCCTTTTTTTTTTATCTTATCTAATCACCACAGCGGGCTTTAGAAATTTGTGATTTTTTCCCCCTATTTTCCTTGAAGTGATTCCCCAGTACTGGACATAAATATGCAGACCTCTCTGCTCACGGTGGCTGCGGCTCTGTGGTGTCAGCTGCAATCAGTGGCCCTTAGTAAAATTGGCGCCACCGTTCCACCCTGGCATCTGTGTAAAAGGAGAGATGTGTCTTGTGGGCCTGTGGGTGGAGATGTGTGAAGGTTTGATGAAGTGTTGTTTCTGGGACCTGCTGAGGGGTGGCTTCAATTTTAATGCTGGCCACAAGAAACGGAATCCTTGATAATCATTAGCATGTTGTGAATGATGCATAAAAACTTTGAGTCCAAATAATGTCGTAAATATGCAAGACGAGCAAAAACACATCCCGACTCTACTCACCCGCCATGGCTGAAAGTTCATGCTTTATATTCTCTTCTGTAACTGTGCTTACATTTGCGATGGTTACACACAAAGATTCATCTAAGTGATGTTATTTCATTGTGACTTATTAATAAATAAGAGAATACTACTATGTAAACTGTTTACATTTATTAATTGCCACTGCAGCACTCACTGTGGAAGGTTTGCAGTGTTAACTCTTTGTTAGATGTCTGTTCCTGAAAAGGAGAAGACTTGATATAGTTGTCTTTAACTTTGTTAATGCTGTCTTCACCCTCATTAAACATGCCACCACTCGCAGAAACATGAAGGGGAAAAAAACCATAAGCAACAGTCACAGTTCTTGCTGACACCTATAGTTAAATTTTTGGGGAGGTGTACATTAGCTATGATGTAGCATAAAGCATAATCTACACATGTAGGTGCAGTAGGTGCTGCATAACCCTTAACACAGATGTCTCTGTCCAACTTTATGGTGGCCCATCTTCAAAAGGCTGCATGCTGAATGTAAAACTAACTCAGCTCAATGCAGACTGATATTTGATACTGATACTCCGTCACAGATATGTTAGCCAGACAGGCTGGTTTGTTATTGACCAAAACTTTGAATACATCCCTTCAATAACATAATGTGTAATTGTACTAGAATGTGAGTGTTGCAAACAGGTGGCGAAAGAGATCGGTATTCTACTCCTATATTAAATGGTATTAGGATAAAGATGCAAGTTATTTTATCCCCTGGCAGTTGTTGTTTTGAATTCACCCCGATGCCTACACAATATGTTAATCATGCTGAGAACCACGACAGACACCCACAATACATATGCGCACACACAAATCATCCTATCTCCACAGGAGATAACATGCCTCACAACTACAGCATAAGCTGATAATTCACAGGCAGCCTCAAACTCCTCCCTTGCTTCACCTTTAGAAGAGTGCAGTGAAAAGTTTATTTAGGGCTACGACACCTGCACCTCACACATACACTAGGCTTCTGCTCCAGTAGCTCCCCAGGGATCCTCACGAGCTCTCAGCTTTTGTTGCTGTGATGGCTGCAGGTGATTTTTAGGAAGAGTAAAAACATCTCCTTTCACCCGTCTCTAGGCTGAGCGCTGAAGCATTTTCCACAAATTGTAAATATTGTACATTCTGCACTAGGGACCAAGATGGGGATGAGCAGCTTGTTTGTCATAAAGGACATTTAACAATGTCCACAGTGGTTTGTTGTTGTTGTTGATGTTTTTTTTTGCTGTTGTTTGTTTTTAAACATTTGATTTCATGCTCTGCTTGAACTGATGATTTATACAGTATGATGCCATCATATAAAAACCTAAAAGTCTTGTCAACTCACTGCCTGCTACTTCACGCACGTTTCAGTTTCCTGAGGTAGGTAGGACACTGGGAGCATGTAAGCTGAAAAGCTGCTTTTGTTTTCCCACTGTCTTGTGCTTTAAGCTGTCAAGCATGAACGACTTTTTTCCTCCAGCAGGTTTGTCTTTCACCTCCTGTCTTCATATATTTCATGTCAGTGTGGTTTTCTTCCAAGATATTACTGGACTGTGTGTATGCAGAACTTTCTCAGTTGAGCTAATAACCAGTGGGTTTCACTAAGGTCCAGCGGTATCATAAAAGATAACAGGTCCATATCCCTAAACAATAAAATAAAACTGTTCCAGAAATGACTCAAGCTCTTTTTTCTTATCTTCGTTCAAGTAATGCCTGATGATGTTTAGAGACACTGCAGCTACTCTGCATGACTTGTTAAATTGTTTTTCGTCTTGTGCATATCAGCAAATACGATTTACATCTTCATGTGAAGTGTTTTTTATCAAATTAAATCAATGTATTTGTATAGCACTTTAAAAACAGCAACCTTTTGACCAAAGTACTTCACATAAGCCACAATAAAATAAAATAAAAAGCAGAAGACACAGACAATAAAACACTCAAATAGGAGATGTGTCAACTCCACTGTGATCAGAGAGGATCTAACTGGCTTGTGCCACTGCAGGGGTTCGCTGAGGCAAGAAGGGGCCAATCCATTAAGTGCCTTAAAAATAAATAACAGTAGCTTAAAATGTATTGGAACCCTTCTTTAACTTTATTCATCATCTTAACATAAGAAAGCAAAATTCATCTTTTCACTTTTGTTTCTGAATCAGAAATCATCAAGAAGACAATGATGGTGTTAAAATTATTTGTTAAATTAGTTTACAGCACATAGAGTATATAAAAACAAGATTTA